CGGGCTGTGGCTGCGAGTTCTGATCTTGCAGACCCTTTCGAGCGGCTGGCACACGAGTGTTCTCTGTATCCAGATCATACTTTGGAATTTCTTCTTAACACAGCTGCCTTCCTACACCGAAGAGGTTGTCGTTCAGGTGCTGTCGAGCAAATGAATTTCATCCTTCATTTCTACCCATGTTTCATTTTCCTGGTGCTGCACGTTGATTGGCTGCGAGTTCTGATCTTGCAGACCCTTTCGAGCGGCTGGCACACGAGTGTTCTCTGTATCCAGATCATACTTTGGAATTTCTTCTTAACACAGCTGCCTTCCTACACCGAAGAGGTTGTCGTTCAGGTGCTGTCGAGCAAATGAATTTCATCCTTCATTTCTACCCATGTTTCATTTTCCTGGTGCTGCACGTTGATCCTGCCAGGGCAGTACTGAGGTGTCACGGCAGAACATTTGTGGTGAATACATGTGAGAAACATTTTCAGAGAGGGCATGAGTTCTTTTAAATCTAATCAGTGGTGCTTGATTCTGAGAGATGCTCATGGTTTCATATGACTTAGTATGATATTTCAGTGTCAATGATATCTCAACCTGCCATCTTGACAAGTTGTAAAGTGTTTTTCATTCCTCAAACATTATTTTTTTTTTTTCTGTGGTTCTGTGACACTCTTACAACAGTCTTTTCTTTCCAATGTGTCCCAGTGGTATTTTCTTCTTCCTGTTCCATGCATGAAAACTGAACCCAAACGGTGTGTACGCTGCAGTGACTGTACCTACCCTGTAAAGTGGCTGGCCCTACAGCTCGCTGTTTATCTGCAGATATTTACGCTGTTTTCAGGAGAATGTCAGTGGAGAGACTTAACAGCACCACGTGAGGGGTCTGAGGGATGCCATGGGATTGCGTGACGTACAGAGGGAGAGACACGTTTCAGAAGTCTTGACTTTTTCTAGTGCTATTGAATAAAGTTGTCAAGAGCCTTTGAAAGCTGTTTCATCTGCTTTAAGGGCTTTGCTGCTGTAGAAGAGTCTCTGAATTTTGCCTTCAGTTGTTCATGTACTTTCAGCTTGACAAGTGCTAGCAGGCTGAGTGGCCAGCTGGCCTTCATCACTCCTGTGCTTGTTGGGTCTGTGTAACATAGAGCCTTAAAAGCTGCATGTTGGATGGTAGCAGACTGGGATGGAGCCCAATTATCAGCAGAAGAAAAAAATGTTTTGAAATAGGCCAAACAGGTGGATTCTGTGATAGCAGGCGAGGAACAGAAAGCTTTAGAAGTTTTAGAAGAAAAAGTTATGCTCCTGCCTATGTTGCCCCATAGAGTGTTACTCTACACAATACCAGCTGTGTGTTGCTTTGTTTTCGTACGTGCTCAGCACTCAGTGAAGAGAAAGTGTCTGCTTCACCAGGTTCTGTTAAATGTGGTGCTGCCTAAAGGTGAGGTTAAAGAAGGAATGTTGTTCTGTAAAGAGTGTGACTGTTGTTTAAGAGTCACAAGATCCTTCTCTAGGTAGGTTGTGTTGCACTTGGACCTTCATAAAATGACCACAAAATTTTAAACTTGGTAGATGAGGGACACAGAGGCTTATTGAAGCTTTTGTGAGGGTGTTTTTCGATGTGAAAATGCAAACCCCCCCGTGGTTTTCAGAGCAAAGCCAGGGAATACCTTTCAGTATAATAGATACGTCCGCTGATTTCTGGTTTATATGAATAACTGTGAATTTCAGGTTTTAGTACTCAGATACAGGTGCTTCAGCTCACCTTGAGAAGCTAAAGGAAAGAACTAGACCAGGAGAATCTGCCTAAATGGGATGTTTGGAATTCTTACATGTGGGCATAAAGTATTGGTGCTGTTGGAACTTTGTGCAGGAGTCCTGACTGAATATTGGGATGATGTTGGAAAGGACACGGTGACCCTGCAGTGAAGGTGGCCTGCTGCTTGAGTGCTGTAACCTTTGCAGTTCAGCAGCTGTCACTTCTTGCAACGCAAATCTCGTAACAGGAGCGATGCTAATAAAGCTGAAAGTCAACGGGGTTTTAGATATGAGTGGAAAAAAAATGATAGGATGGACTCTTTTGAAGATGCTGGGAAGGCAAAAGGGATGGTTGGGACCTATTTGAAAAGGCATGGGGGTGGGGTGTGTCCTCTTCCATATTTCCTATGGAGGCATGTTCTCTAAAGGCAGAATTCCCCTGGAAAAGCCTTTACTCAAGAATGATGCATTTAAACTTGTCTCCGTTTAATATGATCTGAATTTCCTGACCTGACTTTTATAACAGATGTTCTCCCAGTACTGTGGAGAACTGCAGGCTCCAGAAATCAGGTGGTTTGAGTACTCTTCCTGCCCCGTAGCGTTCTGACTCAAAACACTTGGAGAATGTGCTATTCTGCTGGTCGGGTGAAACACAGAAATGAAACAACTGACTGAAAATGGGACTCTGAACTGGTCTTAATCCGGTGGTTTGTGATCTGGACCAGAAAGAATACTTGGTGGTGTCTGTTCAGCATCAGCAGGTAGAAATGGCTGCTTTGAGCTTCTGGAACTGCAGCTGGCATGATCTCCCAGTTGTTTGTCTGGGCCTCAGTACTGTTTGAGTGCCTCCTCCATCTGCAGCTCCCAGTGTAAGTCTTCACTGGTGGCTCTGTACTGTTGAGATTTTCCTTTTGAGAAGAGCTCTAAGGGTTGGTTTCAGGAGATGACTTCTCTAAGAGCTTCCGTTCTCGTCATCAGTAGTCCTTTCTCCTACAATCTGAAAGTACTCTGGAGTCCAGGGGAGGGTTGGTGTTCAGTTCCCTAGGGAGGAAGGTCAGGAATTAGTTTCACCTAAATGGTTTCTCAGTTTTCTGCAGAAGCATTCTGTCCTTTCGAAATAGCAGTAACATTTTAATTTTATGGTTGAAATTGTGTGTCCTCTGGTAGGTATGTTTTGGTCGAAGAAAGGTTCCTGCCTGTAGGAATAATATACTGAAAACCAGAACATAAATTGTGAAATATTGCTACTTTGTGCGTGATTACTGAGCAAAACCACCCTGACAGAGCTTCAGGAGACTAGCACGGGATAAGCCAAGGCAGAGCATGGGCAGCTGCAGGCACAGACTATTTTCAAAAGACTTTTCAACGCTGTCTGTGTAAGTAATTTTGTTGGGAGTGTCTGCTCTGCAAAAAGTGAATCGAAGGAATTCCCTTCCCTTTGGTTAATTCCAATTAGATGATTAGCTTGACAGGGGAGATACCACTTGAACTTGAGCTGATTCTGCTCTACTTGTGCAAGCAAACTTAAAAAAAGAAAACAACACAATGTCTATGATCCAAATTCTAGCACTGCCAGTTCCGTTTCCATTTCAACGCAAAGCACTGAGCTGCTGAGAAGTGTGTTAGTGGATGGATTAAGCTCCAAGAAGGAGACAGAGGTGGCCGGCGCTCTGCAGCGTTCCGTCGCTCTCGAGCACCAGCAGCGTGGGGGCATCGCTTTTGGAGAACAGCTACGAGAGCAACGGCGCGGAGTTTTCGTGCTTTAGCTGAGTGCCTGTTTGGTTGCAGGGCAAGCTAGGCAGACTTTAGAATGTGGCTTATGCAGGTGGGACTTTGCCGTGGTCTGTTTCTTTCCCAAGATCTCATTTTCCTGCTGGCATTCAAACTATTTAAAAACAATGAAAAAGATTTTGCTGCTTGTGTTTGATAACCAAACCTGAAGATTTCTGGAGATGTGGTGTTAGTGTGTTGAGCCAATAATGGTCCAATGTTACATCTAAAATTATGCTTTTAGAGCTGGAAAGGGATTCTCTGAAGTGCTGTGTAATTGCATCTTAGTAGACATTGTTATGAATTGGCTGATGTTTTTTCTGTATGAATGTTGTTTTCAGAGTACGCAGCTGATAACGCACTGATTCCCAAGAACTCCTCGGTTGTTGTTAGGAGAATCCCTGCTGGAGGAGTCAAAGCGACCAGCAGAACACGTGTCACGTAAGTACCCAGAAGCTCTGTGTTCTGCGTTAGAGTTTCGGTGTGTTGGCCATGCTTAAGGAGTTGACGGTTCACAGAGGCGTTCCGCTCGGGGCTTTCTCTTTGGAGCTGCTGTTCGTCTTTGTTGTCCTGGGGCAGATTTGACTGTATCTGTCCCAAAGTCGACTGACAGTTATAGGCTTGCTGGGTTAGGGGGCTCAAACTCCAACCATGGTAACTTTTAAGAGGGTTTTCTGGAGTTCGTTCTTGGGATTGGTTGTTCTGAGAGCCAAGCTGTTTCCCCTGCATGGAGAGTAGGCGTTTACTGCCCTTATAGTGAGGAAAGTGATGCATTGTAGCGTAAACTTAGAACGTGTTTCCCTCTCAGAAGAGTCTGATTCTCAGTGTTTGACTCTTGCATTTGGGGGAGGGGAGGTGGGATATGGCAGGTGTTCTTATGTCATCAGTCTGGGGTTTTGCACACGAGCTGTGCTTTTTGCACAAATAAAGGAAAGAGCAAGGGCAGCCAGCTGGCGAGCCGTGCAAACAAGTGTCATTTCTAAGGGATTCCTGTTAGTTTCCTGAAGACAATGCCAGTTTCAGGCAAGAGAAGAAGGACAACATCCTGAAGTGTGTTGTCTTTTGTGTGAGTAGGATGAAGGAACAGTTAATCCTTTCCAAACTTGGAACTCCATCAGCAGTTTAGCACGTTACCAAATGTGATCCTTCTAAGCCTGTTTTCACCCCGTGTTGGTATCTGTGCTCCAGGCTTTAACTCTGTGTTTCTAAAACGTACAGAGGACAGAGAATGGGGTGTACTGATTAAAATTACAGCTCTTCAGATGCGACCCTGACTACAGGGCTGTTGCTGTCGGTGTGTTCGTACCGCCCGGTTCTGTGTCAGCTGCACCAGCCCCGTCTGAAGGGCCAAGTCTTCTGCGCCCCCGCGGTCCGTAGATGTTCTCAGCTGGTGGTTTGGTGGTGTCTGTCGAATGTTGCTTCTCAATGAATCAAGTGGAGTGATGAGCCACAGTGTGTCTCCAGCAACCAGCACAGCAGCATCCTGGTGCCTGTGAAGCACCTGGAAGCCAAAGCCCTGCATTTCCGTGGCTCCGCGTGCCAGCCCTGGGCCCGTTGCTGCGGCGGGTGCCGCAGTGCTTCCAGGCACTGCCCAGGAGCTCCGGGTGCCACAGCGTTCTGCTCAACTACATGGCCTTGTTTTGGGGGTTCATTTAAATGTGGAATCTCAGGAAGTTTTCAGATGTTATATTTCCTAAAATATGGTAGCATTTTCAAGCTTATCTTAAAGCAAATTCTGACAAGTAAGGCACTTTTTTTTTTTTTCTGTCACAGGGCTCCTAAATCGCACAACATCCTGGGAACTGCTTTCAGGTGACGTTTCTACTGCTATTTTTATTTACAATAACAGGTGTAAGACGTTTGGCATTTTGACAGTTTCATGGCAAAACATTGTAGATATCTGAACACGGTGCTTGGGCTCCCACAAAGACACAGTCCTCTAAGGACTCTGCTGCTGACAGTGTTGTTATTTCTTTGCCAGACGACTGCGTTTTTCACTGCAGTAAGCCTTTGCTTCCAAGTGTCTAGACGATCACTGTTCTTTCTTGGGAATCAAGTGCTCCATCTGGTACCTATTTGTAAACCAGGGATATACTGATGGGCTAAAGGTACCTTCCTTTTGGATGGCTGAGTCTTCATGAACATGAAACTGCAGTGCAGACTCCCTGGGTTTGATACTGACGTAGCAGAGACAAAATACCTGACGACGTACCCTTGCACTGTTGTGTTCTGTATCTGTAAGTCTTCATTTGTGGCAAAGTAGAAATGAGATTTTTGGGGAGGTTTTTTAGTTGCACTGAATGTACCAAGAGAGAACAATTGATGAATAGAGATTAATTTCCACATTTGCTAGACTATCAGAATGTAATGTTTTGATGTTCAGGTTTTATAATCTATTTTCACTGCTTTATGTTGAGTATGAGTGCTTTATTTTAAGTTCTGATCCCTTTTATTTCTTCTTCTAGAAGTCCAGCTGAGTCAGGGAGTGGAACATCCCAAGCGGTATGGAAAAACACGATCTCACACGTTTTTCTACGCACTACACTTAATTCTAATCCATGCAGCCTTGTATTAATTTTCTGAGCATTAACACGATATATTTTCCAGGAAAGCATGGCATAGGTTGTAAATGCAATGTGCAGTAATGCCATCCTTGGCACAGTTCCCACGTGAACAGTGGCACTTGTGCTCAGTAATGCCTTGCCTTTCACAGTGAATGTGCCGGAATGTTTCCTGAGTGACGTTGTGTCGCGCAGGTGACGTACGATCGTTTTTAGGTCACGTAGGTTCATGGTTTGCACGATTGAACTCGGTGCCACGTTCTACATCTGTCTGTCTGTCGCTGGTAACACGTATGTTTGTATAGGTTGTTGTGTGCTTTTAGTTTCCTGCCATAAAAATTCTTTGGAGCATACTTTGCCATATTCCCACTGTGTCGCTTAGCGCTTGTTTTTAAATACTTTTTTTGCCTAATGTTAAACCATTCTCTTAAACTTGGTACTGTTTCTTCCTTTTGACGTGGGGGTCACCAAAACCCACATATGCCCTATGTTTGGAGGACAGTTCTGTGCCACTAAATGATTCCTTCCCATGTCCCTAGATATTTGGCTATTTGTTCCTAAAACTGTGTAGCTGAAGTTGTTTGCGCCCCTCTGAGCACGTCTTTAACAGATGGCTGTGAATTTGAATATCGTCGCTGCACAAAGTGGTGTCCTAAAGTTCTGCATCTGATCTTTCCACTTTATCTGATGAAGCAGTTTAGTTTCATAGTTTGTCTGCAAATAAAAATGTCTAAAACCCAGTGTATAAATTTTGGCACAAGTTCAGAGCCTGGTGAATTTCTGGATACAATCCCTGTTGTTTCCTTCACTTCTGCCTGCAGTCCATCTTTGGATCTGGGTGACTTCAGGCCTGGATGCTGCTCTAATTTCCTTAAAGGTTCAGCTTTTCTTTAGATAACATAGATGTCTCAAAAAAAAAAAAAAAAAAGGAAAATCCTGGAGTGGGAAGGAAGCCTCAGTGTCAGCTAGAACTAAAGGAAGTAAATGAAAGACAAAGCAAACACGTTCCCTCCGTGTTTGCTCTGACGGCACCTGCGGTGGGCTGTGGGCAGCCGTGGGCAGGGTGGGAGCCTTGTGCCTCGCTGCACGAGCCCCCTCTCTCTCGCTGGCTGTGAAAGCGCTGCAGCCTCAGGTGCCTCTGGTGTTGGAGACACGACTGGCTTTATTCTTGAAGCTAACTCAGGTCTTGGTCTAAAGCATGGGAGCTGTGGTTTGTTTGGGTGTTTGAAACACGTGTATTGTTGTCTGTATTTCAGAGCAGAACCTGGGTCTGAGTGTGGTGGGAATAAAGCACAGGAAAGGTTGACAGTTCTGGCTGACCAGTAAAGCAGTGAAACTAAAAACGGTTGGATTTGTTCTGAAAGGATACACAAAGGCTTGTACTCGGACTGTTTCTTTGTTGTCTTGCTCTTACATTAGCTGTCATTCTGCGCTTCCAAATTTGTGCTGCTGCCCTCCTGTTACTACAGGCAAAGCAAGAACGTGGGTCCTTTTTGGATGAGTATGACTGCTTCAGCAACTGCAAGGACCTCTGGCTGGAATTGGTCCTCAGAGGCTGCAGAAATGCAGAGAGTCATGGCCGTTGGTTTAGTGCCATCGAGCACAACCGTGATCCTTCCTGGCCGAACTTGTAGCTTAGCCAAGCTGTCGGGTTTTAGGGAACCACTGTAGTTGAAAAGCAGCCCTCCAGCAGTGAGATTAGCCTTTTCCCTCCTATTTTCTGTCCCATTTCCCACTCGCTTTGTGTCAGTTCCTGTTTAGCCTTCTACGTGTTTGAGGAGAAGAAGAATGTTGGGTGACTGGAAGATGGCTGTTGGCCAAACGTACTGAGTAGTGCCTTAATTATCTATTTGCTGCTTTTGATAACTGTTTAGCAGAAAGAAGTGCTCTCACCCCCCTTAAGAAATCAGACTGTTGCCCTCAGGCCATGGAATAACTCTTTCCTTCAAAAAAAACCAAGAATGAGTTAGTAGTTTATTAACTGTTATGCCTCAGGTGCTGGTCAATCCTAGACTGTGGAATGCCAGACTCCAAGAGAGAGCTCTCCTAAGTTCTTGTTTGCTTCTGAAAAACCACAAAATGAGAGTGGCTGTACCTGCCCTGAGAGAACATAAGCCTGGTTTTCGACGTGTAAAACAGCGTGGCATATGGAGCATGACACTTCAAAAGGCTTGATCAGGCTCCTTTTTAACAGAACTAGGTAGAACATGTTTGAAAAGAAGGAAAGCTGAATCTTCTGGTAAGACTTGCAGTGGAAAGAAGGTCCCTTTTTCCAGATCTGGCTGTTCCTCTCCAAAGGCACATTTTCAAGAACTTTTTTGTTAGTCATACAGGAACAGTGTATGTGCTTTCTTAAACATACAGAGAAGGAACGATTAACTGAATCCTCTTCTGCAGATAGATATTTTTTTTCCCCAGAGTCTGCTAAAACTGTTCCCTTGAATTCTTCCACTCAATGACGTAATAAAGGACAAGAGTTTTTTCCAAGGAAGGGTTTGAATCTCTCTTCTGATCGATTTAGTGACCTCTTGAGGAGAGCTGTTCAGTTCACATGGTGACATTTTCTTCTACGTTTTTGAACTTAAGACGTAAGCAGCAGTGATTCGAGTGTCCTTCTGAGAACATTTTACTAGTGTAAACTGAACTGCTGCTTGTGGCATCATATAATTCAAGGTACTGGAAAAGGAACAAGAGAAGAGTTACCCTTTTGACTTGTGGGAAAGCTGCCCTTCACTATTAGTTCTCACTAAACCCTGCAGTCCATCACTAACTGGTGGCCTGAGGACTTCCTTCCTGCAAGCTGTTCCAGTAGGTGGCTGGGCAGGAGGAGTGTGGTTGCACTGGAGAAAAAAAAAATGGCAAGATTGTGCTCTGAGTCCGTGTTTTCATCGTCATTCAAAATTGGTTTTGGTCTGATAGCGAGTGTGATGGCTTGGCCAAGCATTTTAAAACTTCTTGTCAGGAGGGGCAGGTTCACGTTTCAAGGCAGATACGCCTGTGCTTTATTTTGACAGGCAACTCTGCTGTGTTCCTAAAAGCATAACCCTGGGCATTTATAAATAATGAGACAATAACAGATTAATTTACCATCTACACTGAAAATAACCTTCCTGGAGTGATGCTTCCTTCTCAACAAAACTTGGATTGTTGGAAATACCTCTTTCAGTGACACTCAGAGGATATAGTGCAGACTTTCAGAATGCAGTAGAGGTTAACTCTTGCTATGTTTGATTGTAGAACTTGAATATGTGTTTCATTTTTTGTGAACAGATGAAGGACTCTTCTGCACCTATGTCTCTGGCTCAGCTTATCAAGGTATAGATATATTCTTGCCAAATACTTTAAAAAAAAATTAAAAAGTGTTTGCTTTGTATTTTTAAGTCTTATACTGTGGTCTATAGCTGGATAACTGTTGTGAACAAAACCGTAGTTTCATTTTTAATAATTTAAAGTGTTTATTTTAACTTTCAAATTGTAATTTCAATTACAGTTCAAAGTAGTTTTTTCTGCACATAACTTCAGTCCACTTGGCAGGAAATTGGATCGGTTCCACAAGCCTTTACGTAAGGCACAAACTGTGCCTACGGTTTTGAGAGCCCAAGAATGCTCTTTTCAAGTAGGTCGACAGGCACATCAATATCACGTCCTGGGGTAAGGACTCCCCAGAACATCTTCAGGACAGCTCTGTTTTATAGGAGTTGCAGCTCTTTTCCTGCAACCTCAGCCAGCGCCGTGCTGCTCTTTGCAGGGTTGGGTGGGTGCTGCTGTCTTGGCTGTGTGGGCTGAAGTGTGTTTCTAATGTGTCTGTCAAATAACTCCTGTTAAACAGACTGCCAATCTGGCTGAGGCCAACGCTTCCGAAGATGACAAAATAAAAGCTATGATGATCCAGTCTTGCCAGGAATATCATTGCATCAAGTAAGTGTGGATAATGGCAAATCTGGTCTTGGAAGATTAGAGAAACATTGTAGAGGTGTTTCTTTTAACAAGAGAGACACCTTTTTGCCTACCTTTTTCTTTTTTCCAAAACCACTTTTAGTTCCATGAAGAAACATCTACCATCTTATACGTGCTTCAGTTGTGGAACGCCTGGCCACTACAGAAAGGACTGCCTGACAAACGGGGTAAGACTGCGGGGGAATGGTGGTGTTCCTTAGGTTTGAATTTTTTTACCTTGGCACAAATACATGAACGCTTATATCAAGAAATGTTATATATGGGGTGACATATGGAGGTGATATATGGCAATGTTGCAAAGCCCTTCAAAATTCATGAGAAACCTGGATTTAGAAATGCAAAATGTGCTCTTCTCTTGGTCATGGCCATTAAATACATCCGTAGGTCCTTCTCTGTGGCCTTTCATGCTTAGTTTTGTGTATTTCAATATTACTGGAAATTTTTCTGGTTTTAAGTCTTTTTAATGACAATTCACAGTTGTTAGGGTTTCATCTAAACCCAGGGTGTTTCCATTGACCCCATCTGCAGAATATTTGCATGGTTTTAATTACACAGGTCTCTAGTTGAGTACTCACACCGTTTTACTTTAGTGACTGAAGGTGTGTGCAGGAGGTAGGAATTCAGCCTTCCTCTGTCGATGGTGATACCAGTTTCCCCAGCGACTGGCTCAGAGCCCTGAATTAAGCTCTCACTCTGCGTTGTGCTTTGGAGGAGGAGGAGCGGGTTTGTGTCTCTTCTCTGAGCGGGTGGTGAGCCAAGGGCTGTTTCACCCTTCAGGAGCCTGAGGTTAAGCCAAAGAGTGTTGATTTGAGTTCAAACCACTGCTCAAGCCTTTGGAACATCCTGGCTCTATTCTTTGAGGAAAATAAGTATTTGAGTCGAGCAGCCCTTAGCTAGGTACAAGGAGAGGGTTAAAGGCTTTTGCTGCTTACAGTGACCACTGAAACGTCATTCTAAGTGTGGGCCTCAAAATCTTGAGATCTGCCTACGTTTCTTCTTTTGACAGGACAAGAATGTTGAGTCTGTTCCCAGAATTAAGAAGAGCACGGGAATTCCACGGAGTTTCATGATGGAGGTGAAAGATCCGAACACAAAGGGCGCTATGATGGCAAAGGATGGAAAATACGTGATACCAATTATTAGCGCGTAAGTACGGGGCGCGTTGGGCTGAACAAGGTGTGAGCGGGAGAGACCGTGTGTCGGTGTCGGAGGGCAGCGCAGCCAAGTCGGCCAGCACCTGTAGTTCCGGGGGAGGAAATACTGTCAGTGTGGCCTCAACCTTAAAATCTCTGACACTTTCCAATCTTAAAATAGAGCAATGCTGCTGGTCATGCCCCTGGGAGTGGGTTAAACTTGTGGTGTGCTACGGATCTCCATTTCTGCCAAACATCCCAGCAGTGTTTGCAGTGGAGCTGCTCTCTTGGAAAGCTCACTTTGCTTCTGGTTTCTGTTTCAAAGGCTTCTTGCCAAATTTAACAAAGAGCTGTTGGACTGAGATTTCCTCCCCCACTGACTTTTATCAAATCCCACATGTGAAACAGACTGAAGTTTTCCTGTTGCTGTAAACTCAGAAAATACTACTGTGTGTTGACAAGAGTGGTCGTTTAAAAACACGCCTGGTAGCACTGCTCTTTTTCTGTCATGGATCTTCAATTCTAGAACCTGTAACAGAGACACCTTTCATTTGCAAAGTGTGATTACTCAGAGACTACCTTAATCCTGAGCCTGCAGTTTCCATTTACCCTCTGGCAAAGGAGAAGTAAGATTCATTCCACTTGATTTCTAGCTGTCAAAACATGATTTTTCTAGTCTGAGTTAATTTCTTTGTTGATCCAGTGAATGGAAGAGTTCTGCCAAAGGAAAATTGTTCCCTCCTCCCTCTTCCTGTGTTGGAAGTTTCAATTAAATGCCTACGTTTTAGAAGACTAATGTGGAATGAAAATTCCACCTGTCATCTTCCTTTGATAAAATCCAAAGCTTGGAGAATTTTTCCTGTATTCATCTTTAACCTTTTTCTTTTTCCTTCCCCATCCCTCCTCCAGAGAAGCTTATGCTAAAAGTGAAAAACACCAGAAGAGAAGAAGAGAGCATGCGAATGAAGGATTTCCCAGTGCTGAGTTGATAGAAAGTGTAAGAAAACCAAGAAAACAAATTACAGTGAAAGACAAAGAAGTGGCTTTTTTTCCTACGAAAGACAACATCATAAACCCAGCTAAAGCTTACCAAGAGAAGGTGGCCACCGATTGTGAAAAATCTCCTCGAATGGAACCTCTTGTGAAGAAATGGAAGGAGAGTGGCTAACATTATTTTTCTGTTCTTAATTCTTACATTAAATCTTTTAAAACATTTTTGCTCTTGTGCATGCTCTTTATTTTGGAAGAAATCACACAGCATCAATTAGCTTTTCTCAGTATTTATTTTTTCTCAGTATTTACCTTTACATTTAACAAACATGTGAAGACATGATTTCAAACAAGAAACACCGTACGACAGAAAGAAGCCTGATTTGGTAGGGTTTGAATTCGAAGTGTTGTATATTGCAAGCCATGTCAGGGCACTGGAAATTAGCGTGATTGGTCCATACACTAGACAGCTCCCTTTTACAGTTGCTTTCTTTCTCAGCTTGTATGCATCAAAAAGCTCAAAAATTTAAGATAAGAAAAAATCTTGAAAGGTAAGAATGAAAAGAGGTGACAGTTACTAAAGACATAAACCTAAGAAAACATGGAACAGATGAGGAGCGTACCATACTGGCGTGTTTGACCAAGAGACAGCTGAAGGTGGCTGACAAGCTCAGGATGCAGCAAGTATGTTCCCTCTCCATGTATTAAGGTGTCTCAATCCTTGAAATGAGACTGGAGAGTCCTCTATGTTTTTTCCCTCCTCTGGCCCCAAAGTAGGCTCCTTCTCACTTCATCGTGACGTTGCTGACACACAGCTTTGAAGAACAAAGCATTAAGGGTGAGCAGCGAATGAGCATTTTTTTGGGAGGGTAAGTGTTGAAGGGAAGAGCTTTTTTTTTCTTCTCTAGCAGTCTTAGTGGACATTGGCATGAGAAATCATTTCATTGACTTCTTTACAGTTTATTATTCAAGCTGACATAAAACCTCCCTTGGAGGCAATCATACAGAGGCTGCATCTGCAACACCCTTTGCACTGAACTCCGGAGGAGAAAGGAGTCCACGCTTCAACAACGGTGTAGCTCAGCCAGGGGCTCATCAGGGACCTCCTGCCCCTCCTTCAAGAGGAACAGCACCCCATTGCTTCCACTGACAGAGGCAGATCCATACGGATGCTCAGACCACGCCGTGGTTTTGCTGTGCGAAAACCACAGGGCTAGACAAGCTGCATTCCCTCTATTTGTCTTCCGTAGTATCTTTAATTCGTTTCCTGGACTTCTGTTTCCTCACCATCCTGTGTTCAAGAGCTGGCCCGCGTGAGGCTCAGCTCATTGTGAAGAGAATGCTGTCTAGAAGCAAAAAGATGTCCCTGCAGCTGCTGTGCAGCCCCGCAAGCAGATGTACAGGGCTGCCTGCCGCACGAGCGTCGCGCAGGCAGAACGACAGGGCTGCTTCTGCCCGCAGCGCTGAGCGCGTGCTCGGGCGACGCGGGCCTTGGGGCGTGCTTACAGCGCGGCCACAGGGACGGCGTTGAGAGAGAAACGTCTGGAGCTCTATGCCAGACGGTTTCCTGAGCTGGATGTGTTCCAAGTTAGCATGGACAATGTGGGAAAATACTGGAAGATTGGCAAGGAGGACTGGGAACACACTCAAGTGACTTGCAGCTGGGGTGAACCTTTTTCTTTTTCCTTCCCCACTCCCTGCTCCAGGGAAGCTTGTGCTAGAGGAAAGAAGGAGAAGCCTTCCTTTTCACTGGAGGAGCCGTCATCCTCCTCCACCTCCTCCACAGATCCTGTTCCAGAGGAGCTGTTATGTCTCATTTGTAAGGAGATAATGACTGACGCAGCTGTCATTCCCTGCTGTGGGAACAGTTACTGTGACAAATGTAAGTGTTATTCCCACGTTTGTTAAATCACAACATGAAATCTGGTCTTCTGAAAGCAGAAATTGGAGATAATGGAATTACTTCGTTAGCAGTTCTATTTAATACTTCAGTATGCCCTGAATAAGTAAAGAACTTTTCTTGTATGTATGGGGAAAAAAAAAAAGGCTGAAAGCTTTTTTCCCTTTTTACCTATCTAGGTAAATCCTCTTTAGATGCTGAAGGACAGCCATGCAAAGAGCGCATAACTGCGCCAGTGATTACAGCATTAGATATTGAATGCATTCAGGATGTCCGCTAAAATGATTTCTCTCATACAAAATTCTTTAGCCCACTCTGGTGACTCGCTGTGATCTGCAACAAACAGAGAGCTGGGCATTTAATGCACATTGTTCTCCACAAGGGAGTTGGGTAAAACCTTCAGAACTCAAACCTACTTCTGTTTTTTTGAGATGTGTCTATTCATTAACCTTGAGGTTGGTGACTTCTCACTGTACTAGATAGTGGAAAAAAGACTAGTGGAAACCTCAGGACACAGCCCAGGCTCCATCTCCACAGGTTACAACAATGAAACATCAGAACTGTACGGTTATTTGCTGCAGACTAGACATTTGTTACGCCACTGAACATTTAGTGCTTCATGCTCTCCATTCCAGACCAGATTCACCCATTAATCATAGATGTGTTGTTATAATTGATTAGAACCCCAGAATTTTCCTCCTCTTTTGATGACTCTAATTATTCACAGGTATTAGAACAGCATTACAGGAATCTGAGGAACATACATGCCCAACGTGTCATCAGACGGGTGTTTCACCTGACGGTTTAGCTGCCAACATGTTCCTACACCAGGTAACACGATGACTTTGATGTAAACTGTTAGAAAAGTCTATTTGTAAAAAGCTGAAAGAGAAGAAAATATTAATTTATCATAGAATCATAGAATGGTTAGGGCTGGA